GGTGCCGAGCTGTCGGTGTGCCGGGGCGCTGGCCCTGCGTGGGCTGGGGCTGGGGTCTGCGCGCAGGCTCATAAAACCGCCCGGCAATGCCAGGGCACCCGGGTGGCAGAGAGCCCGCCACCCCGGCCAAAGCGTCCGACTCGAGTTTCTGACAGGACTCAGCTGCTGCGAGTGCTGCCCAAGTGCTGCAGTGAGGTGGGAGGGAAACAGCTCTTGCAGCAGCTAATTAATATGTACTCTGCTGCAGAAAAACAGTGGGTTTTTTTCCTTCCTTTATGCTAAGAACTGGTTCCAGTCACATGGCGTTTCTTACAAAGAAACTCTCAGTACTAGCGAGAGTTTCAGTGCCTTGAGTTTGCCGAGCTTAAACATACCAGTACTAGAGCATTAGTTGGTTTTAGGGCACTGACTGTTCCTTTAAATATTTGGTTGATTTGGTGTTTAAATAATACATATTTATGTGTTAACTGTCTTGCTAGCCTCTCAGTAGTAGAGCTTGGTTTAAGTGATTATAGTGTACAACTTACAGTGACATGAGCCAACATGGAGTCCCACATTTCACGGTCTCACTAGCACCTGACACCAATCTGACTCCTCCTTCCTATGACAGAAAGTTTTCAACCTTACAGTTGGCAGCAAGCATTCGTTTCTCAGTCGAGTTTGCAAAGTGATTTTAGCTGCTACAGTAGACCTTTTGTTAAAAGAAATGGTCAAGCTACAGTACAAGAGTTTAAATGTGTAGTGACAAAACAGAGGTGCAGTAGGACCTCTGGTCCCAGCATATTCCAAGGTAAATTCAGAGGAAAGCTGAGTCCAAACCTGTCATCCCCATCAAACCAGAACCTGCGGGCTTTTCCTGGCATCTCCCAGAACAGATACATCGCCCACTGTTTAGGCTTAAGCTCTCTTCATTTTCCAGCAACTCTTGGGAATGCCAGAAAGACAGAACAAGAGAGCCCTTAGGTGTCTAAGTCGCAGCAAGAAGTCATTGAACAAACTGGTTTTGAGTGTCAATAGTAAGACTTTATTTCATGTATTCTCTTAAGTAATTTAAGACATCCTGTGTTGTCCAGTGTACCCTCTAATTCAGTGAACTATTTCATACGCTGGTATACTCATGTAGATTTACCTTGGAAGTGTTTGCAGTAGGCTAAAAACAGTCCTGTAGCTAAAGAAAGAGAGATCAAAAACCTTTTCACTATTTTCATTAATTTCACTTTTTTGCTATCAGCAAACACAAAGACAATGAAACAGATTTTCTGTGGGTTTAGGTTGCTGCTCAGTAGAAAATTTTCATCACTTTTGATACATCTTTTTCTTGTGGTAGTGATTTCCTCTGGCTGCCAGGCTGCAGGAATTTCTTTATTGTGGGGATATTGCTTATTCTTGCTTTAAAACTCTGCAAAACAAAACCAAAACAGTGCTGTGCTTAAGGACCATGGTAACTGGCAGACATTTAGATGTTATCCATGCTCTAAAAGTAACATTATGGATTGATCCTGCTTTTGGGGCTATAGTGACAGAAGGTGGCAATAACCATCAGTATTTAAGGCCAGCTAAAAGTGCTTTGGATATTTGATTTTTAATTTGTCTTTCACTTCTTTCCTCACCCTCCCGCTCTCTCATATTTCTCAGCCAGTTTAAATCAGTCATCCTGCTTTGATTCATTGTCCATTAAAACTGTCCCTCAGTTACCTGCAAGAGAGGAAATTTGGCAAGTATATCAGGCTTGAACTCTTCGGCCATTAAAAGGATTTCAAGTAATTGCACATCTACCCTGCTAAACCGGTTGCCAACAAGAAAGTCTTGTCCATGGTCTTTCAAAACCTAAAAACAAAGAACCAGGAGCAGATGTGATTATTTTTTTTCTCTCTCTGTGACTTAGTATGATATCTTCAAAGCAAGGTCATACACTGCGTGGAGTTATCCTTGAAAGAAGGAAATGCAATGAGAACATCTGTAGTACAAATGCATGATCTGACCATGCTGTCATCCTAGGCATGATTTATCAGTCCTTTCTCTTCTGCATTTCTTCCTGGTGGCTCAGTTGTGCCCCTCTTGCTTTCACTTCTGTAGCTCTTGTAATCAGTGCTGCTGTCTTGAAGTCTAAGCTTTATGGAATACAACCATCTCTGCAAACTCCTACACAAAATTTACAAGAGGCTTAAGTTCAGCCCAGGGCATAGTATCTTGGACTCCTTCAAATTATGGGCAGCTCCCTTACTTCTCACCTGTTTCTTCTTCAATTTTGGGAATATTGTGTCAGGAGCTCTCCCCGTGTAACCTCTGCCTCATGTCCTTGATGCCCATCCTCCCATTTTTACAGTAGAAGCTGTAATACTTTTACATAGCATATGTGCTAGAGGAGGTTCTGCACTTCAGGAGGAAACTTTATGTTAAAGCTGATGGTATGAAACAGCATACAGACTGACACATGGACATTTGGGTAGCTCAGTGTGTCCTGGGTTTTTGCAGCTTTCCATCTCTCCCACATTTGTAGTGCCTTCTGTCCCCTCATAGTGTCCCCTCTCCATCCTCATCCCAGCCTCACCAAAGCCATAGCAAATATATTTAAGTGGTAGTTTCTCTTCTCTGTTTTCCTCAATAAAAATGGTTTGTGTAGATTCAGGATGAAAACAATATTAATTAAGCTACTACGTCTTTACCACGTACCTTCTCATAGACTGGGAAGTATCTGTTTGTGGCCTTGTCCAGCATAGTAGCAAAATGTTCCTCCTTTTTATCCGCTGGTTGGAAAGGATGGATCATGAGTAACTCATTCAGATCCATTGCTGCTTCCACGTACATATCAATTCTGAAAGGAATAGATCCAGTTGGTCAAGTCAAACACCATAGGTCTGAATAGCATGATAGCTACTGGCATAACCCCACTGAGATGCTGGGAACTCTCCATTTCTTCTATCCAGCATGCATAGCTCAGAGCAGTTCCCCCCGGAGTACAGTAGCTTTTTGGGGGGGAGTGTGGGTGAAAGGCAACTGCAAAGTACCCAGCCAAAAACTAAAAGACTGTCCCCCTTCCATTTTTCGCTGGAGGTGACACTTCTCTGTATTAAGGGTTTTTGAACCCGAGTACAAAATTGACACGTGTCATCCAAATGTGTTAAAAATCCAGTCAGACATGGCAAGTTAAACAGTGGATCTGTACAATTCCTAACAAATATCTTGACATGTGCTAATTAACTTGAAGTATTCAAAAATACTTCAGGTCAAACCATGTGCCCTAAGAGCCCTGTCCTTTAATAATCACTTCTTAATTCTAATTCTAATTCTTGGTTATTAGAGAGAGAAGGGTTTTGTTTCCATCAAAGACATTTCCCTGAATTTGATGTGGTGAAAATGCCAGCTGCTGACAACTGCAGGAGAAAATTAAAAGCAGCATCAGTAAGACAGTCTGCCCTCTGCACTCCTGACTGCTTTCTTCTGATAACTGTATTGACCTTTCATCTGCAGGAACTCCCTTGCACCATGCTGCCTATCTAATCTAGCCCGTTATTACTGTTGTAGGCATCACCTGCAGTCACAGTCGACACGTGCTACATGAAAAGCTCCTGCATCACCCTGAATCTGTGAGCTGGGATATTCTTGTGTTACACAGAGAGGTACTATGAACTGTAGTCTAACAAACAAAGGTGGTACTGTTACAGTACAGGGCTCTCTCCTTCAGGTCCTTCCCGTAGAGGTTGTACTTCGTTGCTATGTAGTTGAGGATGGCTCTGGTCTGCACCATCTTCATCCCATCGATCTCCACCATGGGCACTTGCTGAAACAGCAGGGATCCATCTAGGGAAAAGGGGACAAGACAAGGAGACATTCAGCAGTCAGACACTGAAAAAGACAAGTCCTGCGCTGTGTGGCCCTAACTCAGATGATTTTTGTGGAGCTTAATAGAGATGAGAAGGACTGAAGGATCTGACCGAGCCAGTTTCTGTCATGCTTTGGTAAGTATTATGGAAATCTGGACTATTTAAGGGCTTGTCAACATATAATGCGAATATAAAGGCATATAATATCTTTGCCACTGCTAGATTGACTTTATACAATGGCATAGCGTACAACTATATGGGCGTGAATCAGGGAATAATGGGTGGGTTTCATGAGATTCCTGCAAGAGTCAGATATCACTTGGTGTGAGACTGTAGCCTTACCAGTGTGCGGAAGCCTTATTCTAGTGAGGAAGAAGTCAAAATACCTCCAGGAACTGATCAGAGAAGTAAGTCAGAGTATTCTCTTTATGGAATCATATTTCTTGATTCAGACAACTGATCAGCTACATCTGTCTCTGTACACACTGTAAGACAATCATGCAGAGAAACTGTCTGCTATTAAAGGCACATTTTCATTTATGCTTGGGTCTCAAAATACTTTTTGAAAGCTAGTGGGTGGCAGGGGGATCAAGTCTTTGTTCCTAAAGGAGAGCAGGACTGCAAATGCCAACTCTAGCTCAGACTTCTTTGAAAAGCCAAGGGAACTGGAAGAGCAGAGACTTGTAATTTGGTTTGGAGGAAATGAGAATATCATGTTCACGAAGATGGGAGCTAAAGATAGCAAGGTCAGTAGTTGCCTTGGGAAAAAGGAATGCTTCAGAGGTACAGGTTAAACTCAGAAATCTGGAACTCTGGTTTCATACGGATTATAAAACAACTTTGTAGGCAACCTAAAACGTTAATGAATTTCAAGATGACAAAAACCTGTATTGTCATAGGACAGGAGGCAATGGGCACAAACTAAAGAAAGGAAAGCCACTCATCTGAACTTAAGGAAAGGTTTTTTTACTGTGAGAGTGGCTGAACAGTGGCAGAGAGGTTGTGGAGTCTCCATCCTTGGAGATACTCCAAACTGAACTGGACGCTGTCCTGGGCAAACTGGCTCTAGGTGGCCTTGCTTGAAGAGGGGAGGTGAGCAGATCATTTTGAGAGGTCCCTTCTGACCTCAGCCCTCCTGTGACTCAGTGAAGACTGAAGCAACTGGGTGGATGACACCATCTAACACACTGTAGTGTTCATCTGGGATACCTCATGTACCATCCAGTCTAGATTTTCTTTTTAAGAGATAGAAGACTTCTTAGGTGTTCTAAGACAAACTATTATTATTATTATGTAACTATTAAAAACAGTGAAGGAAGCTTACCCTTCTGTAACTTTGTCAAATCATCCTTCGTTTCCAGAAAACATTCTTCAAACTGCAGGAAATATAGAAGAAAAGTTGTGTTGTCACTGCATGTTTTAGCTTCTGCTTTGCATGAGACAAGGAGAGCACAAAAAGCTGTGTTTTGGGGAAATTTATTTTTTAAAAAATAAATCAGATTTGGAAGTGAGATCTTTAAAAATTTATTTTGCCTCTGTCACATCCTCTCCCCTCTCACTTGTGATTCATATTTTTGTGCGGGTAAGGTTTTGGCTAAAGCTGAGGTGACTGAAAGACACAAAACCCTATCTGCTGAGCAAAAGATGACCATGCTGCTTCTGTTGTCAGGGCTGGCAAGAGATGGTGGAGGGAGAGGACAGGTAAATTCACATATCAGTAGCAGAACTGTGATATAGCTCCTTTGCCACGAGCTGGCAAAAGGAGGGATGAAGAGAAGAGATCGTGTGCCCCGTGCAGCTTTCTGGCACATTGCCCTTCACCATGACAAAAACCTATGGCTCTTAAAATGCACAGATCCCCACGCTCCCTCTCCAGTTTCATATCAGAAACCATTAGAGGTAAAAACAATTACTCTGTGTTTTACAATATACAGTACCTTCAGAGGTAAGCTACGTTGTAGTAGGCATAATAATTTCTTGCTATTTTGGATATTGCAAAGTCTTCAGAATTGAAAGTGCTGGACGCCTGTGATCAGAAGACAAGAAGCTACGTTCTGCTGCTGTGGTTTTGAATTTTTTATTTTGCTAGCTACAGAGGAGAGTCATTTGTAGTGCTGTCACCGTTTAAGGCTGGGCCGGCTCTTAAAACGGGTGGTAGACGCTCTCTGTTAACCCCCTCCTTCCGCCGGGAGGGGAAGGGACGGACAAAAGGGAGAGAGACTGACGGGTTGGAAA